GCCCGATGCGGGACTCGATCCCAGGACTCCAGGATCATGACCTGAGCCGAAGGCAGTCGCTTAACCAACTGAGCCACCCAGGCGCCCTCTTTTCCTTTTTTTAAAAGATTTTATTTATTTATTGGAGAGAGAGAGAGAGAGAGAAATGGAGCACGGGGAGGGGCAGAGGCAGAAGCAGACTCCCCTCCGAGCAAGGAGTCTGACATGGGGCTTGATGCTGGGATTCCAGGATCATAAACGCTTAACTGACTGAGCCATCCAGGCACGCCTCATTGTTTCTTTTAATTTTTATTTTTGGGTAATTCACTTTCATTTTTATTTATTTTTTAAAATTTTAAGTTGTGATTTTTTTAATTTAAATCTTAGGTAGTTAACATACAGTGCAATATTGGTTTCTGGCATATAATTCAGTGATTCATCACTTACATACAACACCCAGTGCTCTTCATAACTAAGTGCCCTCCTTAATACTCATCACCCATCTAGCCCATCCCCCACCCACTTCCCTCCATCAACCTTATCTACCGTTGAGTCTTTTATAGCTTCTTTTGCTCTCTCCTTTTTAACCCATTCCCATATGTTCATGTTTTTGAAATTCCACGAGTGAGATCATACAGTATTTGTCTTTCTCTGACTTATTTCACTTAGAATACACTCTAAGAATACACTCTAGCTCCATCCATGTCATTGTAAACGGCAAGATTTCATTCTTTTTGATGGTAAACTAACATTCCATTGTGTATATATATACCACATCTTCTTTATCCATACATCAGTCATTTGGGCTCTCTCCATAGTTTGGCTACTGTTGATAATGCTGCTATAAATATCCAGGTGCATGGATCCCTTCGAATCTGCATTTTTGTATCCTTCGGGTAAATACCTAGTACTGCAATTGCTGGATCATAGGGTAGCTCCATTTTTAACTTGTTGAGGAACCTTCATACTGTTCTCCAGAATTGCTGCACCAGTTTGCATTCCCACTAATAGTGCAAGAGGGTCCCCCTTTCTCCACATCCTTGCCAACACCTGTTGTTTCTTGTGTTAATTTTAGCCATCCTGACAGGTGTGAGATGGTTATCTCATCTGGTTTTGATTTGCATTTCCCTGATGATGACTGATGTTGGGCATCTTTTCATGTGTCTGTGAGCCATCTGGATGTCATTTTTAGAAAAGTGTCTCATCATGTCTTCTGCCCATTTCTTAATTGGGTTATGTGTTCTTTGGGTGTTGAGTTTGTTAAGTTCTTTATAGATTTTGGATACTAGCCTTTATCTGATAAGACATTTGCAAATATCTTCTCCCATTCTGTCGATTGTCTTTTGGTTTTGTCGACTATTTCCTTGGCTGTGCAGAAGCTTTTTATCTTGATGAAGTCCCAATAGTTCATTCTTGCTTTTGTTTCCTTACCTGTGGTGATGTGTTAGTAAGGAGTGGCTATGGCTGAGGTCAAAGAGGTTTCTGCCTTTGTTCTCCTCGAGGATTTTGATGGTTTCCCGTCTCACATTTGGGTCTTTCATCCATTTTGAATTTATTTTTGTGTATAAGAAAGTGGTCCAGTTTCATTCTTCTGCATGTGGCTGTCTAGTTTTCCCAACACCGTTTGTTGGAGAGACTGTCTTTTTTCCATTGGCTATTCTTTCCTGCTTTGTCGAAGATCGGTTGACCATATAGTTGTGGGTCCATTTCTGGGTTTTCTATTCCGTTCCATTGATCTATGTGTGTTTTTATGCCAGTACTATACTATCTTCATGACTGCAGCTTTGTAATATAACTTAAAATCCCGAACTGTGATGCCTCCATCCAGGTTTTTCTTTTTCAGAATTGCTTTGGCTATTCAGGGTCTTTTGTGGTTCCATATAAATTTTAGTATTGTTTTTTCTAACTCTGTGAAAGATGCTGGTGGTATTTTGATGGGGATTGCATTAAATATCTAGATTGCTTTGGGCAATATAGACATTTTAACAATGTTTGTTCTTCCAATCCACGAGCATGGAATGCTTTTCCATTTCTTTGTGTCCTTCTCAATTTCTTTTATAAGTGTTTTATAGTTTTCGGAGTATAGATCTTTTACTTCTTTAGATTTGTTCCTAGGTATCTTATTGTTTTTGATGCAATTGCAAATGGGACTGATTCCTTGACTTCTTTTTCTGCTGCTTTGTTATTGGCATATAGAAATGCAACAGATTTCTACACATTGATTTTATATCCTGTGACTTCGCTGAATGAATTCCTATATGAGTTCTAGCCATTTTCTGGTGGAGTCTTTCAGGTTTTCTACATAGAGTATCATGTTGTCTGCAAATAGTGAAAGTTTGACTTCTACCTTGCCATTCTGGATGCCTTTTATTTTTGTGTCGTCTGATTGCTGAGGCTAAGACTTCCACTACTATGTTAAATAGTAATGGTGAGAGTGGATATCCCTGTCTTGTTCCTGACCGTCGGGGAAAGGCTCTGTTTTTCACCATCGAGGATGCTATTAGCTGTGGATCTTTCGTATATGGCCTTTATGATGTTGAGGTATGTTACCTTTATCCCTACTTTGTTGAGGATTTTTTCTTTTTTTAAGATTTTATTTATTCATTTGAGATTGAGAACATAAGCAGGGGGAGAGGCAGAAGGAGAAGCAGACTCCTCGCTGAGCTGGGAGCCCGACATGGGGCTCGATCCCAGGACATGCCGATCATGACCCCAGCAGAAAGCAGAAGCTCAAACATCTGAGCCACCCAGGTGCCCACTGTTGAGGATTTTTATCAGGAAAAGATGCTATATTTTGTCAAATGCTTTCTATGCGCCTATTGACAGGATCATATAGTTCTTATCCTTTCTTTTATTAATATCGTGTATCACACTGATTGACTTACAAATACTAAACCACCCCTGAAACCCAGGAATAAATCCTACTTGAATGTGGTGACTAACTCTTTTAATGTACTATTGAATTTGATTTGCTAGGATTTTATTGAGAACTTCTGCATCCATGTTCATCAGGGACATTGACCTATAATTCTCCTTTTTAGTGGGGTCTTTGATTTTGGAATCAAGGTAATGCTGGCTTTGTAGAATGTGAAGTTCTCACTTCATGTAATGTAACAAGACAAAAGCATTTATGGAATTGGTAAGATCCCTCAATTTTTTTTTCTTCTTCCTTTTTTTTTTTTTTTAGATTTTATTTACTTATTTGACAGAGAGGGAGAGCACAGAGGGAGAGTGAGAGGGAGAAGCAGACTCCCTGCTGAGCAGAGAGGCCAACACGGGACTTGATCCCAGGACCCCGGGATCATGACCTGAGCCAAAGGCAGACACCTAACTGACTGAGCTACCCAGGCATCCCAGATCCCGCAATTTTTATTAACTTGGCTCCTAGATTTTAAGCATAAAACACTGAAAAGTAACTAGTCCCATGTTATTTTGCCCTCTGGATTTCTTGTATAGCAAAATTCTCTATGTTGATCGATACAGTCCCATTTATTTTTAATTTCAAAATAGCAAACTGGCCAGTAAGACTCATCTGTCAGGTCAATGCTGGCAAGCTGCCACCATGCTATTTATACTACTGAGGAATCAATTAACGAATACTGCCCTAGGAAAAAGGGAACTGAATACAAATTAATTTTAAGGTAGATCCTCTACATGAAATTGATTCCCACCTTGATGATAATGAACTGTCACCTCAGAGGCAAACATACAACCACTTTAAAAGTTTGGTATTTACTTCAACTAGCTCTTGCTCATACTGACGTACAACGGCTACAAGGCCTGAAGCAGATAATCTCAGCGTCCCACCTTGATTTGCTATGACTTCACTCATTCCACTGCCTGTGACAGTTTGCAGGAAAGCAAAGTAACTCCTTCGTAACATTTGCTTCTCTAAAGCAGCAGACTGGTCATTTTCTTCTGCTGGTCGGAGCAATACCTCAAAAATTGCATGAAGTAGAGGCATGAACATTTGCTGTAAAAATGGAGATACCTGTATCTGAAGATAAAAAACAAAAATTATTTCAGAAATGTGAAAGATAAATATTAATATGAAGCTTAGAAAACCACATTTTACATAAAACCTTTATCCAGTGTTTCCAGTTAGGATATATATTTACATAATTCTGTTGGCAAATACCAGTATTAGGACAAAAATCTGTTATTACGCATATGTATTATTGAAATCTTCAAAATTGTTAAGTTCAACTCATTTCTTACAGTTCAAGATTCAGGTTAAAATAATAGGGATTCAGATGTATTTCACAATTGAATATCACCATAGAATATTTTCAAATTTAAATTATCAAGAAATGAATTCTATTGCTAAATTACAAGTAGAATTTATATGATTGGGCTCTCAAGACTTTTTGTGCCTCGATTCAAATTGCTTAATTTCTCGGTCTCAATTTCTTCGTCTATAAAATACAACAGTTCTTGCTAGGGCTGTTAGGAGGATCAAATGAATTAACGTACAAAAAAAGGCTTTAAAATGGATTTTGAACAGAAAGCACTATGCGTTAGCCATTTTTATCAGCCAGCTTATACTTGGTTTACATTTCCTTGTACAATAAAACTGACTTTAATACAATGAATGAATTTCAAACTCCTGTTTGGGCACCCAAGTTACAAGTTTTTATTTACCTCAAGATATTTTAGTCCTCGATGCTACTTTCATTTGCTTTTCTAAAAGAGCAGACTGTTTTCTTCTGCACAGGGCAGATAAGGTTTGTTTTGATTAAAACAACCATTCAACATGGCCTATGTGTCAGGCAGTGTGCTAGACACTGGAGAGGACAACAATATCTATACTCTATGCCCTCAAGTGACTTAGATTAAAAAAAAAAAACAAACCCAAGGGCAAATGCCAAAATGTATCTAAAGATCAATAGATCTAATTTGTCAGTCAGGAGATTCTCTGAGCCCACAGGTCTGTGGTACCTTAAATTTGGCTGTAATCTGGTTGATAAGAGGAATGAACTCCTGGAGGTCTTTTCCTTCACAATCTTTGAGCATGTGTTCTGAGGCAGACGGGATGAATGGAAGAACTTCTTCCTCTAGGCAAATAATCATGCGATGAAGGAAAGTACGAACTCCACTTCTGAGAATATCCTTTTGCAAGGGACAACTGAGGGCTGGCAAGAATGTCTGTAAACAATCCAGATAAACTTCGGAACAGCCACACTGTTTCACAGTCTGCTTGTTGCTGAAAGCTTTGCTGGTTCGGCTACACAAGCAAAATCAGGCAACTAGTTTTAACTTTAGGCTTTAATAAAAGTTTTATGGAGTAATGAAAAATAATGCACAACCAATTACACAATCGACAAAACTAAGAAGCCAATTATTTAGTTTCTATGACATGACTGCTTCCATCTTTCGCTAATATGGCTATTTATATACTATTGCTTCCAGGTGCCATTCCAGAAAGGGTTCAAATTAAATGAGTGAGAGGTAATTAATATAAGCCTTCTAATGAGAACCCCCCTAAATGTTTTACTAAAATCCTACTGATGAAGTATGCAGAAAAGAGAAAAAAAAACCCACTGCTACGACTGGGCTGTACTAGACAATCTGCAAACTACTGATTTAAATTTAGAAAAAATCCTTAGAATCAAGTTATTTATACGACCTAACATTAGCTTTTGCACTGAAGTATTCTATACAGCAATTCCTTTGTGCAGCGTATTAGCAATTACTACAACTTCCATACTGTTATTGTTTGCCAATAAAATGTATGGGCTGAGAGAAAGAAAAGACAGCTTGGGTAGTCTTCAGGACACAATGAGAGAGCTAAAAAGAAGCCTCAAGACTTTATCAGTACCAAGACTGAGCCAAGATGTCCCAATATGTCACTGTTTATATAAACTCTCCAGCTAGGGATGCCTGAGTGGCTCAGTCGGTTAAGCATCTGTCTTCGGCTCAGGTCATGATCCCAGGGTCCTGGGATTGAGCCCGTCAGGCTCCTTGCTCAGCGGGGAGCCTGCTTCTCCCTCTGCCTGCCGCTCCCCCTGCTTGTGCTCTCTTTCTCTCTCTGACAAATAAATACAATCTTTTGAAAAACAAAAACAAAAACCTTTTCAGCTAATCCCCCTAAATACATGATCAATTTATACTAAAGAAGTCAGAAGAGTTAAGGATTTAGACAGTTGTCAAACCAGAAATGCAGAATATTATGTGATCTATTCCCTTCTTCAGCCAAATCTTCTAATTCACTGGATTTAGAGAAGAAAGGTTTAGATACTTCTCTCGACAATTCAGTTTTCAAAACATGGATGTGTGTGCGTAATTCTAAAAGATCCAAGTAAATGGTTCTGTGTGTGCACAGACACTCAATTTACAATTGTAATTATAATCACACTCACCTGGCAAATCCAACAGCATGGTTCAGACAGTCTGCTAGTGATGCCTGTCTTTCTTCATCTTGTGCCAGCATCAATTTTTCTAACAGAATTTTAAACTTCTCCATTAGTGGGGTCAAAAGATTTCTCATTAAGGCTTGTTTCCGTTCAGCTGGATATTCACTATTAACAATCAGCACTCCGGCTGTCTCATAAATAAACAGCTGATCATCACTGCTCAACAAAGACTGGTAACCATTCTCCTAGAAAGAAATTTAGTCCTATTGGTGTTTATCATTGTTCATTCAGTTCCTCTCATTTAAGCACAGTAAGTCCAATAGGAATAGGAGATATAATCACATCAATGCATTATTAAAAAGTAGATCAAGTACTTATAAAAAACAAATTTTCTCCTAGGGCCATATAATGGAAAGAAAACTGAATTCGAGGTCAAAAGGTCATGGGTCTAATTCTACCCTTGATAACTTTGCAAATTATCATAGAAAATTTTAGTTAGCCTTCTAACTTGTTCTCACTCTTGTTTTTTAAAGATTTTATTTATTTGAGAGAATGAGAGATAGCATGAGAAAGGAGAGGGTCAGAGGGAGAAGCAGACTCCCCACCTCGCAGGAAGCCCAATGTGGGACTCGATCCTGGGACTCTAGGATCATGACCTGAGCCGAAGGCACGCTCAACCAACTGAGCCACCTAGGCGCCCCTAACTTGTTCTCTTTTGTAAAAATCTTATTTGTACAACTGTTACGAGAATAAAAATGAGATGTACAAAGGTGCTTTGAGGGGCGCCTGGGTGGCTCAGTCGGTTAAGCGTCTGCGTTCGGCTCACGTCATGATCCCGGAATCCTGGGATCAAGTCCCACATCAAGCTGCTTGCTTAGTGGGCAACCTGCTTCTGCCTGCCACTCCCCCTGCTCATGCTCTCTTCTGTCTCAAATGAATAAAATCTTAAAGAAAAAATCTAGACTTACAACATAAATTATGTGGTGATTTTATATAATGAAAACCTCATCTAGGGGCACCTGGGTGGCTCAGTCAGTTGAGCATCTGACTCTTGATTTAGGCTCTGGTCATAATCTCAGGGTTGTGGGATCGAGCCCCGCATCAGGATCTGTGCTTGGCAGGGAGTCTGCTTGAGATGCTCTTCCTCCAACTCACACTCTCTCTCTAAAATAAATAAATCTTAAAAAAAAAAAAATCCTCATCTATTAAAAGAAGCATGTCCCTATATAAAAGTAGCTAAAGCATTTAAGTACCACTAAGACTAATTACTCCTGTAGCAGTTGAGAACACAAAGATAAAGTAGCTATATAAGGAACTTAAAAAATGGATACTCAAAACCCTATTAAGCAGACAACATCTGGTAAAAGCAATTTGAACAAAACCTTTTTTTATACTAAAAAGAGATTATGGGTATAGTACAAGCCCTTGTTTATATGAATGGTATAAAAAACATGAAAAACTTCTAATATTGATAGGATAATATGGCTAAATAGTACTTTTCCTTTTTAAGTAGGCTCCATGCCAGCGTGGAGCCCAACACAGGGCTTGAACTCACAACGCTGTGATCAAGACCTGAGCTGAGATCAAGAGTCAGATGCTTAATGGACTGAGCCACCCAGGTGCACAAGGGCTTTCTGAATGCCTAAGTCTTATAGGTCAGTGTGAACTGCCAGGGAAAATTGGCATTAATCAGATGAAATACTTTAATATATAGGTTTTTGTAATATGCAAAAATAATTTAACCATATAATTCATTAGTAATCTTTCATGCAATGAAATTATGTAACCACTATACTCTAAATACTAATATTTACTTAAAAGAATAAAAGTATTTTTATGTTTAACATTTCTCAAGTGGCTGCTCTAGTAGCAATTCTATCAAAATGAAAAAAATGAGTCAATGTCAGTATACAAAAACATGTAGAAGTTAAAACATAGTTACAAAGTATCTCAACTTAAATATTTCTTGTGAAATGAATACCAAAATATCAACCAGCATTTAACCTTTACCCAAAGCCTTAAATTACCCCCCAAAAGTCAATCTAATGGTAACAGTCACTTAGAATGGCTAATATGAAAAAAAAAAAAAAATGGCTAATATGATCTTATACTAAACAGGAAATAGTTTAGAAATTCAATTTTTCCTTCTCCATAAACTACTTCGGCATTTAACAGAGAGAGCAGACCATATCTCACTCTGCCAAATTTATCAGTCAACTCTTTTCCATTTTTTATTTTTTTTAAGATTTATTTATTTATTTGGGGGGGGAACAGAGGGAGAGGGAGAGAGAAACTCAAGCAAACTCTGCACTGAGTGAAGAGCCTGATGGGGGGCTCGATTCCACAAACCTGAGATTATGACCCAAGCAGAAAAACACTTAACTGACTGTGCCACCCAGGCGCCCCTCCATTTTTATTAATTCTATTACTATGCTTTGTTTGCTAATCGCAACAGAATTTTGGTAAACAGAACTAACTAATCCTTGTATACAACCCCTCATCCCTGCCACCACCATCCACCATTAAGAAAACTGCCCACAAGGCATTAGCATTAAAGGCTAAATGTATGTGTGGCATCAATGATACTTGGGGAAAATCTGTAATTTGGAAAGATAGATACTTACAGGTGGAGAAAGCTCTAGTAAGTCTTGTATTCTATTCAGAATATCCTCAATAAAAGGATTCATTTGTTTACTGAATAAAGGCAAAAAAGGAAAATCACAATTATGTAAACCATTGTGCTCAAAATACCAAATTCCCTTTTAAAAAGGATGGAACTAAAAAAAGGTTCAATTCTAACCTAGTCAGATGTAATCATTAAGACAAGCTAGGATTTTAAAAAATTACAACCTTATATACCTAAGAACAAGTAGTTTTCATGCCAAGAAAATGGTACTAGTAAAAACAATACAAAACAGAAAGGTCAAAAAATTTATTTCCAAGAAATATATTCTTTAGAATTTCAAAAAAGCCATAGAGTAATCCACAGCAATAAAACTGTTAGTTAAATAAATAATTAATGTCATTAGTGATGACAGGTATTACATATAAAAGTATGCAAACAAATCATTTTGCAGTGATGAACCTGGCTAATGAACAAGTAAAAGAAGTCATAACATGATACCAAAAAAGAAAACCTAATAAAAAGCCTTAGAACAAAACCCAAATCTACCACAGGCTTTTAGAAAATAATTTATAGGTCTCATTTAACAATCTTAAAAACAAAAAGTAAACAGAACAGTTGACATTTAGTACTTACTTCAGAGATTTGACAAATCTGGAAAACAGGTAAGCAGTTCTGCTCCGTACTTTTGCACTAGAATGCCGCAGACCTCTATGATCTAAGAAAGCCATCTAAAGAAACAGAGTCACTCACTATTTCTGCACTTACTTAAAATTTTTATTGGTATTGTCACAATGTATTTTTGTTCACATCAAATTTTACTTCTTAGCTCCTGAATGGCAGGAGCCAGGTATATAAAATAAGTAATCCTTAAGGACACCAACAGGCCCCTGAGGACTTGTTTTAGATGACTGATTAAGCCAGAAACTGTCCATTTTAAAAAAATAGAGGAGGGGTTGGTTTCAGTATATTCAAGAGTTTCTGAGAGCTTCTGGCTCTGGGAAAAGTTATAAAGACAGAATCCTATCTGCTCATTAGCTGAAATACATGGAAATCCACCCCCCACCAGAAACGGAGAATAAATGGATACTTACTAGTACACATGGAATGTGTTGAGGTTCAACTGTGAAAAATTTTTCATATCTAACAACAGTTTCAAAGAACTCCAATGTCACAGATGTATGCTGATAGGAACTAACTCCTGATGTTACCAACTGGGCAGGAAAAAGTTAAGAAATCTGTCCTTATTCATTGTAACATCAAAATGCCCCAGGATTAACAGATGCTAAATTAAGGAACTCCCACTAGCTTATAGTGAAAACAGAAAATTATGTTCAAAATAAATTATCTGTAGTATACTTACAGTTCGCATCATATCCTGCAAAGCACTAGCTTTTGAAACATCACCTGAGAAGTGAGCACCATGAGATACTGGAAGAGCTTCTGCCAACATATACAGCAATCTTATTGCTACTTCAACTTCCATAAAACGTGTAGTCTGCCAATTCCTACCAAAAGAGAATATGTATGTGAAATCTGAATATAAACATTTTATATAACACCAACAAAAGTCTCTTTAATTATTAAGTCATAGCAATTATTGGGGCTCCTGGGTGGCTCAGTTGTTAAGCGTCTGCCCTCGGCTCAGGTCATGGTCCCAGGGTCCTGGGATTTAGCCCCGCATTGGGCTCCCTGCTCGGCGGGAAGCCTGCTTCTCCCTCTCCCACTCCCCCTGCTTGTGTTCCCTCTCTCACTGTGTCTCTCTCT